GACGAAGGCTTACGAGTGACGGCATCCAGGTGAGTGTCGTCCCGAGTGTTTGCCGATGTAGAACTGAGTGAAGCTCTGCTGCAGCGATGCTATCGGGGCGGGGAGGGTCGGAACGTGAACTCGTTCGATCTCAGTATGGGTGGAAAGTAGGCACATAATCAACTACATGACAATGTGAAAATTCTGAGGAGATTCTAGTTGGTTTCCAAACACTTCTTCCCGAATTCAAATGCAATTAGCGAGGAAACTTCCGAATGAGAAAAGCGAACATATACTCCAACAACACTGCTGTTAAATCCCTATCTTACATCCTTGGGCCACTGGGTATAGGTGGGCCAGATTCCCGATGTCAGGACCATAGCCTGAGACGAAGTATGCAATGCCGAGGACCATAGGAGAGTAGCTCACCTCGAACTGCGGCGATTGGTTATCATCACCCTGCAGTTGTTGGTTCCTCTTCTCAGTGAACTCCTTGTTTAGCGCACAGCTCAAATCCATATCACGATACATTCCCTCGAGCTTCGATGTAAACCCACCTACAGCCGACTAGACTAAGTCGTACTAAAGACCCCCACGAGAGTGACATGTGTATAGCCCTACGACTATCCGTCCCCTAGACAGCATCGTGAGGAATATACGTTCGCTCCCCTCAGCTGAGTTCAAGTGTTTCCAAAGCTAAATATAGGAGTTTATGGATGCAATTAAGAATTTCCCAAATTTCCTCATATTGTCAGCGACATATCTAGTTGACCATGTGCACATCGTCCAGCCCCACAACGACCAAACGTTACTCTGGCTTACCTCCACATTCGGTCCTCAGCTTCTGCAGCATAGACTTCTCCAATTCATGTCCTCGATACGAAGAGTTCTCTAGACGAAGGCATTGATACCACCAATGGCAAAGGTATTCTACCAGTTAGAGGTTCGTCAGGCCCCCTCATAGTGTGAGCAGAGAGCAGCCTCTTGGCCAGGTCGTTCTTGTAGTGCGCCTCGAAAATATCTTTCGCCGATATAAACCTGTTCAACATCACCAATACTTGTTAATCATCATCTTTCAAAATCCCGGAGACTCCTCAGTGGACGACAACTACTACTAATACCAAAACAGCGTAAAAATATTTTTCCGACATTTTTACCGGAAAAGAGTCATGACCGAATCCATTCTAGCCTCCA